ACTCAAATTCAGAATCATAGTGACTTACTGAATGCGATAGAGTGAACATCGGGCCTGCCTTCGTAGAAGACTTCTCTTATTTGGTATAAATTTACCTTTTGTGATGGATAGAACGCTTGGTAGGCCTGGGTGGGCGCCGGCAGGGATTTGATTCTGAATGGGAATAATAAGCATGGCGCATTTCAGAGTGAATAGGTCAACATTGTTAACTTTTCCGAGCTTCTGTTCAACTCTGTGCAAGTTTGTTCTCTGACTTTCTTGGATTTCTCTTCGACGCTCCCCGCAGGCCATCGGAACTGCTAGAGACGATGAGGAGCTTGGTGGCCTAGAACATAAGTTTGAACTTTAAGCCATTTTAGGCTTCCGAAGATGAGGACGCAGTGGTAAACTAAGGCGGTTTCACTAAAAGTTCCACCTATCATGTCTGTGAAGGTACATCAGATCGTATAGCTGGTTAAGAGATGCTCCTGAGAACTAAAAAAGAAAAAAATTAATTTTTTCTAGTGCCTCAGTCCGTTATATTAGTTAAAAAAGAATGGGCAGGGATCATATTCAAACTGTCCGAAGTATTCACAGAGTGTTTCAGAGTCAGAGATCCACCAAAGCCATCGACATCGACAAACCCTTCAAAGCGACATCGAGAACGACTAAATGGCGAGTTGGAAACGGTTGCCGGTCTGCTACCGTACGATGCGGCCACGATCAGCCGGCTGGATAAGCTGAGTGTTCTGCGGCTGGCAGTCAGCTTTCTTCAGGTCAAGGCGCACTTTCATGGTATGTTAGCACCATTTTCCAAGGGCACTATCGATTTTCCACTAAAAATGCATTCTTATTCTTATAACGTTTGGTAGGAGGGCTAGTTTGTGGAGGCCTAGTTGGACATGAGCCTCTCACGAGCTCTCACGGATGTTCCGTCATATCCTTTGGGAACTTGGATCGCTAGCGAACAGGGGAAGAGAAAGGGATAGTGGATTCTTATTCTTATAACGAATCGATTCCTGCTGGACTGGTTTCAGGGATTTGAAACACTACCCTTCAGCGACCTGACGATGATTCTTCTAGATGTGAGCAGGGGGGAGAGGGGCAGCCGATATACACCGCGCGCTTGTCGCTGTTCTGGATCTGCCGTTTGCTCCTGAAGGAACAATATTTGATCAATCTATAGGCTGCTAAGAAGGATCACGCTCTTTTGAAGATTAGGAAATCCACCTTCAAGGTTACTGTAAGTCAAACGAACCAATATTGTTTATCCTCTGGCCTTATGGGCGCAAAGTTTGTACTATTTACGCGTGTAACCGTCCAGATATTTTTTTGTTTTAGCGGTATCTTTGCGCATTGTCCAGTGGTGTATTGTGACATAATCACGCATTGACTCGGTCAGATTTGGCACCCGACAGTCGCCGATGACACGCGAACAGGCGTTCTATAGAAACATTCGGCAAGGGGGTCACTCGGAACAATTTTTGGGCCATATGGGGTCTGACGGAGGGATTTCTGGATTTGGGAAAGGTTTCGAGCCCTTGACAGATCAAAAGACTGCTGAGGGTTTCGATAAGTAGGGGAGAATCTGGAGCAGTTCGGCTCGGAGGGGGCATTTCGTTTGTTCTTGTCGATCACTTCTGGAGACCTGTGAACTCCTGTGAACTATAGAGTAGCAGCAGATTCGCTAACACTTGATAAGGTTAATGGTCTCATCGTGTGACGTCTAATTTGTCAGGTACTAGCAAAAGGACTAGCGAAAGTGCAAAACGCCCATCCCAAGCCGGATAGTATCCAGAGCTCCCTTCTTCCCACTGATTCCCCCTTGAATTTCACTAGTTCGTTACGGAATGAAGTCACTGGAATGGAAATAAGACGCCATCTTGGAAATATCAGTAGGCGCCCATCAGGCGGCTGTATACGGTAATGTGGTTGATGGCTGTCATCGATATGCTGGGCATGGATGGACTTAATGGCCGCCCTCTACACCGCCACTTAACTGCTCCGAAGACAAACACAGCCATGTCACACCTTCTGACATCTGATGACTTCTCATGGTCATGGCGATTCATCAGGGATCTCTCCTTCGATAACCCTGAACACTTTTCGGGTCGTTCTCTGATCATATCCTGGAAGGGGGCAGCACCTGGTCAAGCCAAAGTACCCAATTTTGGCACAGCTCGGCTTGGTGGGGGCATTCTGCTGGTTTTCATCGTTCACTGCCGATGCCTGCTGTGGGAACCTGTACATTCCTGTAAAGCTCAATAGCAGGAGCTCTCTTTCACACTTGACAAGATTCTACAGGTCTCACCAAGGTGTGACGAGTAGTGTAAGCAAAAAGCAAAAGGTACCAGCGAAAGTACAAAATGCCCCTCCCAGGCCGAACAGCTCCCCAATTTGCAGTGAGCGTTCGATTAATGCAATATGTTGCGGTTTCAATGGGAGCATCTTCGAGAGGGTGGGAGTTAATAATTAATTCGGGCGAGATGCTCTGGCAACAGATGGCCTCCACCGAGATGACGGTACAACAGCACTGCACGTGCACGATGGCCAGAAATGACTAATTGTCCGAGAATAACGGCTTCATGAAAATTTATTGCCGAAATCCATCTCGACAACACGTGTTCTCCTCACCTTCGATTACCTAGCAAAAGGAGGGATTCGCTAGGGAAGCGAGAAGTGACAAGAGTTTTTCTCGCGAGTAGTCCAGGTTATTTTAGGCTGGTCCATAATTCGTCCTTGAGATTTTCTTGGAGTACCACGACTTTCGGACTTTCACAGTAACCACTGCAGAAAAATACAACTCAATGTTCCAACATTTAGTTTTCCCAAAATAGCCTTTATTGAGCCCTGCACCCAAGTCCGCTTTCAGTAATATCCGATTTTTCAAAAAGCCCCAATCACTCGCTCGAACTCAAGGACGGGGAGGGTGCTGTGGTGAGAGTGGGGCCGATCACTACATAGTCTGAAACTTGGTTCTCGGGCACTAGTCGGCTTAGGAGGGGCTTTTCGCTAGATCCTTTTGCTAGTTCATATTAACTAGCAGGTCAGTTTTTGGTCAGACCTAGACCTTCTTGAAACTGTTGAATGGCGCAACTGAGCCAGTTTGATTACAACATTCACAGCTATTTACAAGATGACAGTTTTCAGTAAGCATCCTTGGGGCCCCATAAAGCCGAAATGAGGCATTTGTCGGATTCAGCGTCTCTATTAGGCCTAACCAGGCCTAATATCCGAAGTTGTAGCGTGCTTGGCAGCAGACCTGTCTATTGAGGATTAAAGCACTGAATCATGCATCTGATCGTTTAAGAGGTAATCAGTCGAATTTCGGAAAACCTAGGTACAGCCTGCAATTCTTCGGATATTACCTGCACAGGAAGACGTTGAACCTTACTAGGGGCCATAGGTCCGCTCATTCCATGATTGAGCAAGCTTGTTCACCTGCTTCAGTCCTAGAAACTTGTTGTGCGAAGTTTTGCGGGGCAATGGATGTCGTTCGTAGCTGAATCTGCTCTTCTATCTTTAGAGGGTTTTCGCAGTCCGTATTACAGGCCGTTGCAGGAGAACTGCTCCTCTTTCTAAGCGCGTCAGAGGGGCCTAAAAATTTGGAAACTGAACCAAGAACGCGGATTACGATAGCGCAGATCCGTCGGACTACGAAATCTTCCTTGTTCCTCTTTCCCCCTCGGGCAATCCCCATGCCGCTCCCTCCTGGAGTTCCACAAGCCCTGGATTATTAAGAAAAGTAGAGGCTTTAACTTCCCTTGTAACTCTGGACAGACACTATCTTATATCGACAGATTAAAATGCTCGTTACACTTATAGAAGATAAGGTTGTTAGTTGGTTTTCACAAACTGGTTACAAACGGTCAAATCAGCCAAATCCGTTGAAAATTGATCCATGAGGTGCCCTTCCACACCTTTCCGGATGAATCGGCCGCAATACTAGTATTCAGAGAGTCAATTTGCCCTTGAGCGCCATTCCTAGCCAAGTGAGATGCTGCATTTTGCTTTCAGACCAGGTCCGACTAATCAGTTCAGCGCTAACAGTAATACCCTTATCATTCAGCATGCCTCATGTCGTCACCGTTCATTTGCCAGCTTCCCATGGCCACACATGCCTACGCGTATTGTCCACAATCGACGATATTCTCCGCAGTACCTACCATATACCACAGTCGAACGTCGCAGGCACTTATTGACCCTAATGAGGCCGACTTTGAGACGATCGCTCTGAAGGTAACGGACAAGCGGCTCCTTCGACAAGGCTTGTACAGATTACTGTGTTTATTTCAGTCCCTCGGAGGATTTCTCCTGATAATTAACGATAACGGAGAGATTTACTATGCTTCAGAGAATATCGAGAACTTTCTCGGCTTCCATCAGGTATGTTTCATTCGCTATTGAAAAAATAATCAGTGGGTGACTGCTCAAGGGGGGAGATTGCACGGACAAGGCAATCGTTCGTGACTGTCGTGCCGCCGCGCGCGGCGTACCGTGCAACCATGGCGGCAAACTCCCGACGTGTATCAATTTGTCGATTGGAGCAGCGAAAATCATATGAATTCAAGCAAAGTCAAGACTTTATGACAGGCAATATTGGATTCTCCCTTCCCTTCGGCGCTCATATTCAAGAGAGCAGGCGGGACGACTCGTCTGTCGCGCGCGGCGTCGCATTCCGCGCCCGCCAGCACGATACGTAACGATTGTTTTGCCCCCCTGCTTCGCCCATCAACGGGTAGCATTTTCGCAGCATCACGGAAATTTGGCGAAGCTGCCTCGTGGCTTGCAGAGTGATGTTCTTCACAACCGTCTAATGATTCTATCATTCGAGATCGTGATGACTTAGGCAACACTCGAATTTTGGGCCTATTCCTTCCACCTGGCAGTACGAATCCCCAGGATCTCTACGAGCAAGGTAAGCGCAGTTTGTCTGCGTGAGGAGTGAGTCGCTCTAAAATCTTCTTTATAGAAAACTCTCAACATCTTGAACGCAATGTGAACGCCCGATTTCGATGCCTTCTCGACAACACCTGCGGATTCCTGGTAAGTATAGTGCAATAGTGCAGCTAAGGAAATAAAATGCATTAGATGAGTCAAAAAGTGAAAAAGGCTAGCTATTGCGATCCCCTGGTTACTGTGGGAAACGCTGAGAAATTAATCCTCTCCACCTTCACGGAACCGCCCACCACTAAGGAACCGTTGCGCATCTCCGCCCATTCCTGGCTTGTCTGAGATTATCGCAAAATGTGGTCTCTAAGGATTTCCTTGAATCTCCTGGACTACAAATCTCAGCACTAGCTGTTTTGGAGTTTTGGCAACGCCGCAGAAATTCACAGCAACTATGTTGATCCGCCAAAGTTCAGGAGGGGCCGCTAGTAAGAGGATAGGTGTAGGGGGGTGGAGGTACGGCAGGGTAAGATAGGAAAGGGTTAGAGCCTTTTCAGAATGATCGAAATCGAAAAAACTACGAAATTCCAGCGGATAGACATGCGAGGGAAGTTGCTGTCCCTGCACGGCCTGCCATCATCGTACGTTCTTGGAAGGAGCAATCCAGGTCCAGTAATGGGAATGATCGCAGTTTGCACGTGAGTTTTCGTGAAGAGAGGTATATAGCAACCCCCTAATATTTGAAACTTCTTTTGTTTAATTACTGGTAACCTTAACAGGCATTCTTGTCCTGCCGTCGTCTACAGACGTTTCTGCAAGAGGACTCAATCTCTTGAAGACGAAACATCAGGCTGGATGGACGCTCGTGTTATATGACGAACAAGTGGAGTGCAGACCACCTACCAGAAAGTGGGACTGGTACAAATCTAGTAGAAGTCGCCTCTTTTCAGGGTCCATGCTATGTTGGAATTGAGCGAGAGTGAGTTGCCAATCTCCTTCTACAGCCTCGTGAACGTCGAAGATGCCGTTTGCTTGGCTGAAGCTCACAAAGAAGGTTGGCGTTTCTTCCATTCTCTGTTTCATCGCCTTTTCTGTTTTGTTTTTTAGCATCACTGTGAAGATGGACGCGATCCGGGAAACCCAAATTCGCGGCGACGCAGAGAAAGCACATTTCATATCCCTGTGATGGAGTGGGCGTGGCTGCGACTGGGCTTTCGTTGGGATATTGCCGTTTTGGGACAATTGCAGTCACGTCGTGGCCCAGCACAAGACAGGATGACAGTTGCCTTAACTGGAAATGTCGCACGAAAAATGCAAGTGCACAGCCACACCCACTCCATCTGCGGGATATAGGGCTCGGCTCGGCGGCACCGCACGAAATAACTAATTTACTCACTCTGACATACTGTAAAACCCGTCCACTGAATCAGTCAATTGTAAATCGTTGCCGCCTATGCCCTCGCCCCATCGACGCAAAGTGGATCTCCCGACCGACACCCTTTTATGAAAATCTCGACACGAACATCAAGTCTAAATAAAATAATCTGCTGTTTTCAGTGATCAAAAACGGGTCCAGTGGTCTACTGATCTATCGATTGGTGAGCACGAAATCGAATCGGACGTACTTTGTCCAGAGTAGTTGCCGAATGTTCTACAAGAATGGAAAGCCGGAATCAATCGGGCTCACCCATCGACTGCTGAAGTGAGTACCCTGACGCTTACTACAAGTGTTACCACTCTCATTCAGCTTAGTCGGTACTCACCCTCTTGCCTTGGCCTTGCCTGAGGTGCCTGAGGGTAGTAGGTACGAATGATGGGGCGGGCGATTACTGTCATCCTCATTGGTGGAAGGGTTGCGAGATGGCGTTTGGCCACACCCACTCAGCCCTTCATCAATACCGTGCCCCTACCAGTAACGTTGGTAGTATTGCCTGCCCCAGGGTTTCCACTGCCTTTAACTCACCGGGCGCGGGTGTAGCACAGTTACAGTCTTGTGCTCTGCGGCGCTCGGAGGCTGGATTTGGGGAGCGATTACCTACTGTCCACCAATTGTAGTCGCTTGGCCACAATTGGTGGAAACTATCGGGCGACCACAATAGGTGCCGAGGCAGACCCAGCTATCCCCCCCCCCGCCTTTCACCTTCAACGCCTCAGTGTCCGCAGAGAACAAAACTGTACTTGACTGGAGCAAAGGTTTTATTGAAGATAGACCTCATCAGTTACATCCCGTTGTACCTGTGCTATGTCAGCGCGCCAAAACCAGAGGAATTCAGTGAAGTCTGGCGTATTTCAGCGAAGTCGAGGGCACAATGCTTCTGGAGAAGCGGTCATCGTTGAAGGCAAAATTGCTGTCGTTCGATGATTCTTTCCTGCAATCACCTCGAAATCTCCAATCAACAGCCGCTCTTCCACTGCCACCGCCCAGAGACGACAATGAAGGAGGGAGGTACGTGAAAGAAGCATGAAAACGTGGGCTGCGAATCATTTTCGCACGCACGCGGAGAAAGCACCAGCTGTACACCTGAAAAATCTTGGCGTTGTTCGGCTTGGGAGGGACATTTTTGCACTTTCCCTTTTGCCAGTTCACTTCAACTACAGGTCGCCCTTAGTAAAGACCTGATAAATTCCTGTGATTGTTGCGAAATGGTCCACGTGAGCACTTCGGTCACAGGACTTCAGAGGTCTTCACAAGGTGGCCTGAACTAGATCCTTGAGTACCATTTGGTGCCCCCAACAAGCCGAACTGCCTAAGAATCTGTTAAATAATCGCACTTTACATATTTCAGTTCCATTCCGCCAACTCCTTGACAATCGCTCCCGGACCACGACCGCTCAAGAACAGCGACTTTTCTCTCTTCCCTCCCGCCCTCGTCTCAAAGATGGACCACTGGCATCTGCTACAACCGGTGAGTTGCTGGAGCATCGAGGACGCGTCTGAATCAAGCGAGTCCACGTCGTATGGACGGAGCTCCATTGGGTATCCGCAACTTCGCAACGGTTCTCTCTTCCTAGTATGAGTAAGAAGAGTACGCCTATGACGAATAAATGGTAGCAGATGTGACTCCGCCCATACCTTCAGCGTGGACCACGCCTCTGAGCGATACAGTTGGCCTTAATCAAAACACTCAAGTTTAAACTCTTTCGGACGTAATTCTTAATTACAATTCATATTTATAGCCTCTACAGGAATTCAGCCTACCGCTGGCACCAACATTACCAGGCGATATTCCACCGTGGGCACCCGATCCATGGTCCGGAGAGCTTTATCCTCACTACCACAGTCCCTGTAAGTTACAGTATCGTCATTCCTCTCCTGTTCCTTGCGTAAAAATAATCACAAACTGAAGATTCCATGGTTCCAGTAAGTTACCAAGCCTCAATCCAACCACTACCTCGACCAGCATATCACGAGTTGACAACTTCTGAATGTCAGCAGTGGCACAATACAGGTGAGCTAGCCATCTCTAAATTAAAACTTGAAAAAATCGAGGTACAGGAATATCGTTTAATTTCCACAGGAGCTGCAATAAGCTATTCCCTCATTCAGGTCAATCCCACATGAATCATAGTGTGAGCCTGGCGAACATGGAAGACACCTCTCAATTTCTCGTTAAAGACCTTTCACATGGCTATCCGCTTGCTGTCGACTACAATAAGGTACATACTATTGGAGCGTTACCGTATTCGAGTCTTCTCAGCGTGCGTTTACACTTTCCGACTCAAACGATTCAGCAACTGCTTTGCTCCACTGCTAATCGTTGGACCGCTGCAATAAAAAAAGTTCTTTCTCAAAGTTACAGTTATCACCGAAATCAGTCGGGGGCGTGACAGCCGGGCGTGGGTTTTGGCGCAGCGCCAGTTTCTGCAACATACACTGAACGGAAAGCAGGCTGGCGTTGCGTTGAAGCCTATGTATCGCTGACACGCCCCTCCCTCTTTAGTGATAACGACTGATTATGTGGGAGCGGTGAACAATAACTTACAGAGCGTCGACGATGCAGAACTGCCATATCGCTCTACTGAATCGTTCAAGAAGCGCTTGCAGGAAAGACGCGTTGCACTGTCCTGCTAAAATGTCGAAATTCCAGGTTCCGATTGAATACCCGATGTCTACCGTACTACCGCCTCAGGCCAACGGTTTCCAATTCATCTCAGAAGTCACCAACACATTACTAGGACAGTAGCTGTTGTGACGGGTTCCCGTGAGGGCAGAAAAGGCTCGCTCGCTTGATGTAATCGACTTCTCGAGCCCGGCATATCATAATGAAGAACAGACGATGAGCTCATGTCAACTTATTGTCAATACTACGTGTGATATTTGTTTTGAATGTGATATTGAAGAAGTGTAACTTCGTTAGATAACATTGTTGTGACAAAGTTTTCTCAAGCTCCTTTCTTTTTTCATGAAAAGAACGATCACAATAAGAATTTACATTTTATACGCTGGCTGATACTACACCCGTATACCAGGTAATGATAGGGAGGCGGGCCGCGTTACGTGATTCAAAACATGTCGTAACTGGAAACGCTTGTCAGTGGAAAGATCCATTGAGGGACTGCTGTCATTTCTAGTGCTGACACAGAACAATGATTTTTCGGCGCGACACGGGCACATATTCACCGGCCAGGTGCAGCCCCGTTCAACTGTCGCATTCGGAGTAGCAAACCACGCCAGGATCACCACTCCAGGAATATGGAGTGTACTTGTGAAGGGAGGGAGGGGAGAATGGCAGAGGTGGGGAAGAACCCTTCCCAGCTTGCGTGCTAGTATCCTTCTCTGAAAGGCTTGCGCTTAGTGCAGTCAACCAGAGTTGCAGAGAGACAGACTCGCAGAAGTGCGTACTGCCAAACAACCCCTCGTCGCAGCATGAACCTGCGGCGTGGAACATAGAAAAATGGGTGAACCAAGTGGTTTCCGATAGAAGAAATCGGGCTACCATAATTGCGCGCTAGCAAGGCATCTCACACATCTATCACGTTCATTCGCATTAGAACCCAACTTATTGAAATGACGCTTCAGTATACCGTCCCCAACTAGGTATACACATCTGTAGTTCAATCGCGATCCCGGTAACAAAATCTCCTAAACAGGGTAATCAGCACGTTGTGTGGAAACACAAGGGTGGGCGCTGGGATCGTATTCGGCGGTTTGCTTTGAGAGAGGGAGGCCGTATGCGGCTTTGAGAGAAATTTGCCGCGTTGGGAAAATTGTTCCTGGTTTTCGCGGTTTCACATTGGCTATACCTCCCCCCCCAATCGCCCCCACCGTCCCCCTCCCCCCCACTCGTCCGCGACCGGAAACGACGGAAAATTTTTGGGTGAAATACTGGTAGGAATTTGGGAACTTGTATTAAAGAGGTGCTGGAGAAGGAAGGGGATAGTACCGAGACACTCCATCGAGGGGGGGGGTCGTACTGAACTCCACTTGCCTCGCATCATGGATTGCTGCAACCCTGCTCCTGAACCTGAACATGAGCAGAATTTCCTTGGCCACGCGTCTTCCCGCGATCAACCAAAGTGAAAAACCTCCATTGAAAACGAACGCGGAGTTCGCAATCACAGCAGAAATCCCACTCTTGCGGCTCGAAATCGATTGGTTGACGAGGGCGGAGTCAACAGAGCCGGGCTGACGCCTCCTGTCCTGTTAATCCCGCCCCGACTGGTTGACAGTTATCAATGCTTGCTGGCATTGATATACGCTGAATTTCTAGAGTTCCGAGGCGGCGACGTGTATTGGAGAATCACCAGAAGTTTGCGCGAAACTCGTCCACAATGGCCTTAAAAATTCCATAGGGTTTTATTTCACGAATCTCTTCCCAACCCTTTTTCCCTGCTTTTGCTTCATTGGCCCATACTGTTCTAGCAAAAGATGTGGCCCTTGAAACCTGCCAATAAGACCATCGCGGGCGCTGTCTTTTAACGACCCCGTCGAGGAGTTGAAAGTGAGGGTTCCAAATGGCCAATTTCGGATTCCGGCCATATATCTCACCCGAGTTCAGAACGCATTACGTGCGCCTTTGTGAAAATCTCTCAAAGAAAAACATCCCGGAGGGAGATAATTTGCACGTTGAAGCATCGTTTTAAAAGCACTAGCACGATGTTTCGCTACTTAGGCTAAAATAACTAGTAGGCCGCGTATAATACGTAAGGGAAATGCGAAAGAAGCGCGAGTGAATTGATCGGACTAATTCTGCTAAAGAAAAGGCCTCCGTTCTCTGTGACTTTGTAAATCGATTTCGGACGAGTTTCCCATAGGCATCTTACCAATCACCGCTACCGAGATACGGCTGGATATGTGTAGCCGCATGTATGCATGCAGCATATGACAAGCTTCATCAATGTCACTCCTTTCGGGTCTCTATATTTCTACTTCGCAAATGAAGTAAATACGAGCATCAAAGTACGGTCGCCAATTTGTGGGGCGGGCGGGCGTGCGTGCGTTTGGAACGTAAATTGTGGCTTGATATGGCGCCTTAATAAGGCACTTCCTCGGGAAATCCGCCTGGCAGGCACGCTGGCCAGGTACCGTGAATCTATACTGCAAAGGACCATTGGATCCTAGTGCTTTGGAGAATTTATCGTGCCAACTTGCGTTTAAGGTAGATTTGCTATAAATACGCCCAAGTCAACCACCTCCAACTAGGCAAACACCGACCATATACGCATTTAATACTGACTGCAGTTACGCTGCGGATAAAAGGGCGTGTCAGCAGTGCGAGTGAAGCCAATGGCAACTAAAGCTCCGTTTCTCAGCTATTTGTTGAAGCAGGTAGAGACAAAAATTGGTATAAAGAGTGGTACGAAACGTATAGTGGGGCAGTCCTGTTACTTGCTCCGCTCAAACAACTGGTGAAAACGGGTCAGTTACCGTTGAAGTGTTAGGCCAAACAGCATCCGCCTGACAGGCCCTTCGTCGAACAGCTTATAAAACATAGACGCACAGTAAACGTGGAATCGATTGATTCCAAACGACTATAATCTGCTAGCGTATGTTAGCTTTAACAACTTGTAAATTTTCCATTTGAGGAGCACCCACTCGCTCCTGTCAGACTCTCCCCATTGCCAACATATTCGCTTGGTTTGGAAGCGTTTGCTGATGCTCGTTGAGAGACAGACTGAAGACATTATCACTACGCACTTCGGCGTGAGGAGTAAACCTAGATACTTTCGACGCGCTAACCTAGTTCGTGGGGAGTGGGGGCGGGAGGGAAGAGCACCTAGGCGAGTTCCTCGACGCGTCTCCTTCCTAAGCCCGCAGCCCGGCCTTCAAAAGGAATACCCTCGGTTGGCTCCCGCGGCAGAGAGGATGTCGTAGACCGCGGAAAATCTTAGCAAAATTAGCTTCTGACCGGCTCGCCTAAAAGTATATGGGTTGGAACAACGTATAGACGCCCATTCGATTTCACTTCAGTTATTTGGGGGTCGCGACATAATTTCGGTGTTAGTTATTGTCTTGGTTCTAGATGATTCGGACCGCCCCGTGGTCCTATAGCGAAAGGCAAAAGCGGCAAACGCATACAACAAACAGCATTGGGATCCGCCACTTCAATGGAAAAGCTCTAAACCAAGAAGTCTTGGGACGTTACGTAGTCAAGTACGCGCAGCGACAGGCAAAAGGAACGTGTCCTATCCGAGATGAAGTCAACCGTGACAGTATCCCAGGCTATAGGGTCCCGGCACGAGAAGTGGTGCGGCAATCGCGCGCGGTGACTCCTCCGCAACATCATTGCGTGCTTGCGAAAATAGCTGCAGGCGTGCGGATATTTTAACAGCTTTGGGTTCAGGTTTCGCTTGAAGTACCTGATTTGGACTTTTCTTTCACTTACAACCTTTCACAATGATCAAAGTGAATATGTGTTTTGTTGGGATTTGTAGGTAACAAATTCTATACAGAAGAGACCGCACATACCTCTGGGGTTGAGCTCTGTGTAAAACATGGGTATTGATCACAACTCAGCGTCCTTCGTGCAAACTAGCGCTACGTGCACGCTAGGTGCCAGCTTTCCTAATTGTTGTGTGTCCCCTTGGTTTCATACTGGGCTGGGTTAAATTAGTCGATTATCGAGGAACCCTTTAATGGATTGCACCAGTACTTTCGTTCGACTACACGCCGCCGCAGACTTTGCTTACTCATTGATTGTAGCCTTGGCCTGGCCATTATTTTCAAAGTCCTCTAGCCAGCCTCTATATTTGGGGTAGAACGAGCTGGCGTCGCGCCAAACCCAATCCCTTGACACGAAGTCTGTCAGCATCTGCAGCCAGCATAATGGACATCTCTTTGAACTGTTTTTTTGAGCATCGTCCGTCAACTACTTACCAGTTTCCAACATGGTTACAATGTATTCTAAGCTGTATTATAAGATGGGCTCGAAAATAGACTTCAGACGTACTCTGCCAGCTGCGAAAAGGTGAGCGCATCCCGAGAAGATTTACAGAGTTCAAACAAAGGAGCAGGACATTTGTGAAGTGCCCGCTTCAATTATCAGCATGTCGAAATTGGTCACTACCATGCTTGAGGTCTGTCATATTTTTCATTGATTATCATCTTATTCAATTCTTTATTTTTTTAGGACTTGAATCTGCCAAGATGGACGACGCTCACCATTCCGATTCCAAACTCCACAAGCTCCAGTTTAAAAGGTTTCTGTGAAATGGTATTAGAACGTTTGCTATTTCCCGATAATTTTTTGGTTTCCTATTCCCCGCTGGTAGGTGTTTCCGCAATAGGAGTTTCCGCAAAAGGAGTTTCCTTCGTAAGTGGTTAGAGAGCAAATGCAGATGTAGTTGCAGCAGTCACTAGGCCTTGCGGCCATAGTCTGGATCGCTGCGGAAGGCTGGACGTGTGAGGGGATGGGTTAGCGCGGCGCAGGTTGCCTGTTTTGTTGCGCTAGTTGTCGTCTCTCGCACCTCTACCAAAACTCGTAAGGGGGGGGGGAAGGGGCTTGCGCCGCTTTCCCCCCCCGCCTCGAGTTTTTTCGGAGAGGGCAAGAGACGACAACTAGCGCAAAACGGACCTGCGCCGCGCTAAACCCATCCCCCCACACGTCCCAGCTTCCGCAGCGATCCAGAACTGGGCCAGCAAGCCTAGTGACTGCTGGCATACTAATCTGCATTTGTCTCTAACGCAGTTACAAGAAACTCCTTTTGCGAAAAACTCCTATTCGAAGACACCTACGCAGCGGAAGGAAACCAAAAATATGGGGGGGCGAAGGGGCTTGGCGCCACTGCGGACCCCTCCCTTGCGTCACTGCTTACCCATCCCCGCATACAGGCCCATCATCCGCAGCGAACAAACTTTACTTTATAAGCGGGGAACGAGCTTCAGTGTAGTGGGCTTCCAAGGCGAATGATGCACGCAGCTTCCGCACAGGCACCAGGACCCAACCCACTCAACAGGGCAGCAGCGCTTTGAGTCGACTCTATCTCCCAAGTCGACTGGCAGTATGATGCCACACTGAGTTAACGCTGCGCAACCCTGTCTCTGCTATGCGAGACTACGATGCGACTGACTCTGATTACCTGTGCTCTGTTAGAGTGCGTTCATACTTTACGGCAGCGTTTTGAGCGTATGCCAGCGTTCCATGCCTTTTGAGCATCTGTGAGTGTTTTTAGCGCCCAAGAAAGTATAGGTGTCACGCTGAAAACGCTGCTGCGTGCTTAAAACGCTGACACTGAAACGCTACATTGAACACCTACATTCTAAGAGCTCAGAATTCTGCCAGACGCTCACAGTGCTGCCGCCAAGTCTGAATGCACTCTTAAAGATTAGCGATCAACTAATTGAAGGTGAATCAACCTTGTACAGTACAAGATCGCGGAGTCCGCAACCACAGAGGATATCCCACTCCTGGGACTCGAAATCGATTGATAGACGAAGGCGGAGTCAACAATGATAAGCTGACTCCGCCTGTCCTGTTAATCCCGCCTCGTTTGGTTTTCCATTAGGCCGCGTTCATACCGTGCGACGTCGTCGTCAACGTCGACGAAAGCTGCGTAAGCTGCGTAACCGACGACAGCTTCACGCAGACTAGATACATATCGATTTGACGAAAAAGCTGCGTAAGTTGCGTAAGCTGCGTAAGTTGCGTACTTACGCAGCTTTCTTTGGATCGATACGTATGTGTTCTTCACAAACTAGTCGCAACTTACGCAGCTTTCGTCGGATCGATACGTATGTATTCTTCACGAACTAGTCGCAGCTTACGCAACTTACGCAAAAGACGTCGCACGTATGAACGCGGACTTATCGATCCTCGCTGGCGTTGATAATCGCTAAATTTCTTGCGTTTACTTAGTACACTGATAGAGAGTACTCATAGTCAGACCAGATTAGATAAGATACCCTAGGTAGTATCCTCATGAATTAGCCGCAACGAGGCGGCCTCGGGTTTTGGAGAACTCACCCAAAATCTGCGAAACTCGTCCAGATGCGTCCGATCGAACAGGGTCTTATTCTATGTTCTTGCGGCGCTTTTTGTTTACTTTTTTGATTAATGCTTTAGTTGCCACATGTTCTAACAATTCTGAGCCCTACAACCTGCCAAAGTCGATTGCGGACGCTGTCTCTAAGCCATGGAGGGAGGATGGGACATAGGCGCTCATTGTGGCCTATTCATTACGCTTGTATTAGTAACTGTTGGTATTGGTCAGATCGGTGGAAATCCTCAGAAGATTATGGTTCATTTCGTTTGCAAGTTGAATTCCTCGATTAGAATGGTTTCAGGTGGTAGCGTCAGACATCAAAAAGCTTGAAGAGTGGTCCGAGGACTTTTTCAATGTCGATTATCCCATGCTTTTCGAGATCATAATGGTAGCTTATATATGCTATAAAGCCCGATTTTGCAATAACTTATCAATCATTTTCAGGCTGCCAATTATCTGGACATTCCCAAACTACTCGATGATGGATGCAAGAAGATCGCCCACATGATGAAAGTGAGTTGTTTTACCTTTGCCATAGCGGTCTTTTGTACACTCTCTTGTTCATGCACTTTAACTTTAACACAGATTCGTCCGCAAAAGGTGGGGCCTGTCAATGGGCTGTTTTGGCGTAGCGCCAGTCGTCTTTACCAGAATTGTGATCGCATCCCTGCTTCCACAGTTGGTGGATAAAGGGCTGGTGCCACGCTGAGGCTAGTATCCATGAAAGGCCCCAGCGATTAGTTTGTTTACTGAGCATTCGCATAAACTCGAACGAAGTGATCGAGTCTATTTGAAATATTTGGTGTGGGCGCGACACTAGATTGTAGAAGACGGTCGTTTTACAATTTTACAACTCATTTCTGCTATTCTAGGGAAAGACTCCCGAAGAAATTCGCACTATGTTCAACATTACGAACGACTTTTCCCCAGAAGAAGAGGAGGAAATCCGCAGGGAGAATGCTTGGTGTGAAGGATAATTGGCTTTGACTTTGGTACATGGCGCCCTTGTTTCATTACTCCATTCCATTACTTGAAGAAATTAGAATTTCCTAGAAACTAAGGATTTTTCGTACTCTATTGTTTTTGTATGTATGGGTATTCTTAGCAGGATGTAAGGGAAAATCTCGCATAAAAATGTCTACGTTGCTGTTTTCAAGACAAATACCAGCAGAACTTCAAGGCACACCTGGGTTCAGTGGATGTTCAGGCGCTTTCATTGGACATGGTAGTCCTGCTTGCAACCATAGGGGATATACTACATTTGCAGCTCAGACTACGTGATTTCAGCCGTTGTCCTCGAGCTTTTTGAAACTTCTCTTCCAGACTACTGGCATTCTGTTACAGCTGTAAATTTCCTAGGTTTTCCAAAGGACGATTTGAACCCTAGCTATATTCCTAGCTAAGGGGTGATACCTGGACAAAGTTTGGAGCTGCTCTATAACTGCAAAGTAGAGCCTGAACGAACTGTATGCTACGAGAGGTTATTGGAAACATTTATATACAAACATTCATAGATTACCCTCATGTGAGACCATGTGAGGTTTAGAACGTAGCCTTATTAACATCATATATGAAACTTGGTGAACAAATCGTTGGTAGGAAGAAAAACATCGAAGTCATCATTTGGGAATGGTGCACTCAATGTGAACAGCGCGTTGCTTGAAGGCAGCAGTACTTCCAGATGAACGGAGCTAGGTGACGGCCTCATTGGCGCGCCCAGTCGTGGAGGGAGAGGCGCACCAATGTCGTCGTTCCTGGCCCCGCCCACTGGCATTCACAAAGGTGCCATCGGCACTTCAAGCCCTCAGAAACAATGCACGGTACATACGCCTAAGTAGTGGTTTCTAATTATTACTGAGAACGCGAAGGAAAGAATTACATCGTGTTCCGAATAAACATGGAATGGAATGTGTAGAGCACACTAGTCTTACAAATGCTAATCGTGGCGTGCTCTTTTGGGACCACCGTCATCCTGGTGAGACCTGTCGTTCCACGGTCGTCGTTGTCCTCTGCCTTCATCACGCCAGTCGTCTCTTCTTCGACGATCATCGCGCCAATGACCTCTACCTCTTCCTCCTCGCCAATCACCACGTTGTCCATTACCCCAACCTCCTCGACGATGTCCTCCATTGCTAGAAAACTCCACTGTTATAAAGAAGAACAATAACTGGTTGACGCAGTTCGGCGACGAGGGGGAGCATTTTGCACTCTTGCTGTCTTA